TCTTGACTTAAAAAGAAGCAACTCTCTAAGTATATTTAAAAATAGACTACTAAATTCTCTTTTTGAAAATTATAGGACAATGTGTTATAAACCGAATTGCTATTCATGTAAAACTAATTAGATATGTTTTAATATGCTTTGATATTTGTTGTGTACATGTCTGAAAATTACTTTAAACTCTAGTTATTCGAATTTATGTATAAACTATTTTGCATATGATAAATTCGCACCCTGATCTCTAATCGTTCTCCTTAAATCTATTTAATTGAAATATTTTGTTATTATTACTAACATTAGGTGGAAAAAATAATCAAAACAGCCAAGAGCTATTTTCCACCTAATTGCTTTATACTTGTACTGTTAATATAATCATCAATTTTGTGATTGTAAACTCTATCTGTATACAGATACATTTATTTTAGCAATAAACGTTATCTTATCTTATCTTATCTTATTAACGATCCCTCGTTAACAACTTGGTCAACAACAACATTAATATTAACGATCCCTCGTTAACAACTTGGTCAACAACACCATTAATATTAACGATCCCTCGTTAACAACTTGGTCAACAACAACATTAATATTAACGATCCCACGTTAACGATAAGATATCTTGAAGGAACAAACGAACAATTATCACAATATTTAATTCCAGGTACCCGAAACGAACAACAAAAAAGTCGAATAAATTCAGAAATTAACAAGAAAAAAATCCAAAAATTACAAGTAATTTTACTTTTATATATTCACTATTAAAAGAAGCAGTGACTATGAAAAGAAATTTTAATAATTTTTTTTCTGAACATCTCTTGATCTTATAGATCATCATGAAATTTAATAAAAGTAATCTTTTATCTCCAATTGAGTATAGAAGCCATTCAATTTAATCAGAAATTTTTATCAGGAAGAAACTGATCTGTTATAATAAAACATAAATTAATTTTTATTTGGAATGTTAATTTTTTCCTGAAAATGTTGTATTATTTGCTTCACCAAAAAATAGTTAAACTTTTTTAGAATTCAAATTTCTTGTTACCAAAGGATTTTTATCTTTTGCTTTATTTTCCATCTTCTCTTGACGTGCCCTTTCCTTGACAACTAATCTGAAAAATAGAAATTTGGGATTTTCCTGAATTTTATTTTAGATTTAAAAAAAACCAGAACAAATTTTTAAGATTTTTCCTCATTGTTGGTTCGAAAGAAAGTATAAAACCATTTAAAATATTTTAAGAATTAAACCACTAATTCTTCATCATATAAAAAATACTTCAAATCAAAATTATTATTTTTGTATGCCTCCAGGAAATAAATCTGGAAAATCTTATAAATAAAGTTCAGTATTATTGTGTATCGATTTTATGAAAAAAAATAACAAAAAGAACAAAAAACACTGTACACATATATCATTTACTAAATATATATATGTAAAGTAGTAATCTCTGTTTGCTTGTTTGTTTATTTGATTAAATGTCCAATCATAACTCATAACTCATGACTCGTGGACCGCTTTGCCTCAAATTTTGATTGGGGAACTTGGGAGAACTATTGAGCTTGATTTTGAGATTTTAAACTGAGCAGGTCTCTATCCCCGTAGTAAATTTGAATTCGAACAGGACCTGCCCAGTTTGTACCGGCCTGCCAGATAACAGCGCGTACTTACCCGATCCTATGGTGCAGTACGTCGCCCTAACCAGACTAACATATGACAGGGGTCAATTTTCCCGTGCGTGTTCAGACTTTTTACAGTACCCGGCCTAATCCTAGGCCTATTTGACCGACCCCACTGGCTTAGTCCACCGTGAATAGTTTAGAGTATCTATGAGCAACACTGGCTTCCCAAGCCACCATTATAGAATTAAATATTTCCATTTACTGTTAGCGAGGATTGAAAGATTTATAACTCTAATTGGATAATGAGATAGATAGAAAGATAGAGTTACCGCCATACTATTTCTATTGGTTCAGAATAGACAATAAACACATGACTGAACCCATTGGATCAGGCGCTAATGGACTCGGCATACAGGAGTGAAGCTAGTCATAACATAATATAAAAGAGGAATACATGTTCCAAAAACATTTAAATAAAAAATATTTGTGAAAAAAAAGATTGTTATGCGCTTAAAAAAACAATAAACGCTTTTAAATAATCTGGAAGCCTGAGAGCTGAACTAATATTCTATTAAACCCAAATTAAGCCTTACCTCACAACGTTCAAATCATATTTTGGTATCCTTGTACCCAGAGAGTGCAAAATAGCATCTTTGCATTTCTCTGCTCCTTTCTATAATTAAATATAAATATAAAGATATTTCATAAATGATAATACTATTAATAGTAATATTAGCAAGTTGTACACAGTAAATGATACATAAAGACACTGAAAAACCGGACCTATAGTGAGATTAATGCATAGTGAGATTAATGCATAGATAAATAAATTAATGTGAATAAAAGTAATGATGATAATTTTAAAAAAGATAGATTTGATGATAAGAAATAAAGAAATAAAGAAGTAAATTGAAACGACAGGCAAAATAAATTACAGAAGTTTTTAGATCGACTTTGATATTTTTAAGGTTGTGTTTTCAATGACAAAACGTCATAATTTTTAAAAATATTATTTGTCTTAAAATTTGATAGCTAGCTATCAAAATCTGAAAGCCATCTCTCAATGTGTATGGTTTGTTGGACACCCTTTAGTTATCTTATCAACCGAAGGGATATGATAAAAGGGAAATGTATTGTCTTAATTTAGCCAATTGAAAATTCACTAATTTAAAATGAGGTTTCGGATTTATGCTGCAGAAGCAAGGAAGGAATAATAGAATTCACCACTTTTTTCCGTAGGGTTACTCACAGATAGAGGTTTAAAGGGTACCGTTGTGAATCTGACATGTCACTCTCTAAATGAAGGTTGGCTTGAATTACGTGAACAGAGTCTTTAAGTAGCAAAGTCACCTTTAGTGTAGTTTCCATTCTAATCTTTAAACCTCTCTCAAACTTGAAACAAACAAAATTATAATTTAATCTTATTTCTTTTTATAGTCAGAAAAACTGTTTTGCGGGCTATAAATGGCAGGGGGGGGGGGGGCAAAATAATTTCCCCTCTTACAAATTGTGCTAGGAAGGATGCAAAACTATCTGTTTTTATACTTTGTTTGTCTGTTTGTTTGTAACCTATAAACGTCAAAACGGCTGAACCAATCGGGTCCAAACTTTTTGTAGTGGCTCACATGATCCCAGGGAAGGTTCATAGATGCTCAAAATTACAGAAATTTGTATCCATAAGTTTTCTTTTTATGGAAATTTTGAAAATGTGCAAAAAAACTATTATTAAATCCACGAACTAATTGTTTTGTTATTGTTTTATATTGTACAAAGAGAAGATGCTCACACATTGAGCCACAATTAAAAGTTGAAATAGAGAATGTGCGCGAAACGCCCCTAAAGCCCCTAGTATGTTATATCTAACAGGAGGCCCATAATGTTCCCCCAGTTTTAAAAATGGGTAAAAAATGAGTTGAATATTATAAAAAATTGACCTGAACTAACGCAAACTCGAACTGTCCTAACTGAAACATTGCCTCTCCTAGTGCTACAACGGCCCTGCATATAAATAGATAAGAATGTAAAATCTTAAATAATATTTTAAAAAAATGTCTTACGATGATACTTTTTTTTTGACAGAGAATTTATGGTTAATGCACTAATTTGTTTACATTACATTTACTTAAATGCATAAATATTTAAAAGAGGCTATAAGACCTTTTTTTCTTCCCACCCCCAACCATGTCAGCCTTGTCAGGGTTTTGAAATAAAAATGTCCAAAATGTCCAATAAAATTTTGCCGTATTTCAATTATTTCCCCTCTTGCGAAAATACAGTAAGCTATACTGCACTGTCAAAACTTTGTTTCATCTATATGTATCGTTCATTAAAAATCTATCGTTTATAAACAGTTTGTTCCAAAAATCTTTCGTTCAGTAAAAAATCGTTTTTTTTCAAGTTCGTACAAACAACTTTAAATCATTTGTTTTTATTGGATCGTTTTTAAAAGTTTTTTAATTTCTCTGAATGATCCAGATCGTTCGTCCATCGTTCATTTTTTTCTGAAGGATGCTATCGTTCACAAAAAAAATGTCTTTCCTTCTCAAAAATTTCGTTCGTTCAGAAAAACGATGGCCATCTCTAGCACTGAGGGTTCACTCCACTTTGAGGGATGAACATTGTTTAAACTTTATCCGGTGTAATGAGCCTCCATTGCCCTCGCTGTAGTTAATACTTATTATTTGATACTAACTTTGTACTTGATTTATTTATTTTCAAGGCAATTTCAGCATCTAACTTGGCTTCATCAGATTTCTCCAATCTAAACAATTATTCAAAAATAACGATTGCTATGGAAGAAGTTGTAACTTTTGATTCATAAATACCTTTAGAACGCAATAATCCTTAAATCATTTGTGGTTTACCAGACCAAGTCAATTCCTTCTAGATATACCTTAAGGTCAATTGGAAAGTTGCGAAAAAATTAATCAGCAGTTTTCGTGGATTCAGCGCTAAATCGCAAAATCAAAATTTCGCACTGCAAAAATTATATCAGAGGAACTGTAAGCGTAATTTCAAGCGACTCTCCATACAAAGATGGCAATGTCCGATTCACAACGGTACCCTTAAACCTTTATCTGTTCAATAACGTTAAAGATATCGACGTTTTTCTATGTTTAAAAGTGTTAATAATTTGACGATTCCTCTAGGTTTTCCGCAGCAGAAAAGCGCTAGTCACTTTAGTAGAGAAACAACAATTTAAAATAACCGTTGTTATCTAATTCATACTTTATCAAACAAAGCTTTATGTCAAAAGAGGGTCACTCGAAATTAAGCGTACAGTCCCTTAAGTTTGGAATATTCTGCAATCGTATCAAAAAAAATGTGTATGATTTTTTTTTGTAAATTTCACATTTCCTAAGAATCTGATTCACTAATTTGAAATAGTTTTAAACTAAAAGTTTTTTCAATTTACATATTATTTACAGTTAAGATATGATCCAAATGATAATTATATTTCTTTCAAAAATTCAAAATGAAACTTTGTATTTTTCATTTTGATAGCAACTTATAAAATCTGTTTTATGAAATTTCTTCAAGTTTTCTAGTACAGGAACAGTGCAAATACAGTCATGCAATATGGAGCTGTCGATAAGTTAAAATGTCTTCGGTTCTTTTTTATTAGGTAATATCAAAGAGAATAGAATATATATCAGAGTGGAATTTAGACAATCCCTCGGTATGAACTTTGTCAGTCCCTTTCAGCCTTAAAGGGAGTACAAAGTGTACAAATAATGTAAATGTTCACAAATTATATGCATTAATACAGTATGTTCCCTAGACTATTCATTTCAGTTTCGAATTTAAAGCTGTTAAATAAACTTTATAATGAATTAGGGGAATAAAAACATCATTTGATTTATAGTTATAACGGAAAATCATCGTTTGTAAAGTGGAAGGCATAGAGTCTATGTGAAATGATCATTGGTCAATTATGAAACCAGCCTATTTCATAATTTGGTTTTCTTTTAATGTTAATTTTAGATTTTTTATAAAATGATGATCCAGGGCCCAAAATCTTATATAGTGCAAATATGTGAAGTACACCTGCAACATGGAAACAGTACAACAAAATGGCCGTTTTACACTTTTTCTAGTAAATTCCACTCTAATATATATTCTATTCTCTTTGACAGAAACCCATAGCAAGTCACCTGTATCATCTAACAAATATTTTGCCGAAAATTTTGTTAAAAATGGATAAATTTTCAAAAACAAAAAATACTACACAAAAACAAACAATTTCCAAAAATCTTTATTCTTCTGTTTTGACGAAAATACCTTCGTAAACATTCACTTCTGACGATATACGGTACCTCGTCCTCAGACTCCATATCTATTGCCTGCACAATAGGATCGTTACTTAAGGGACTGTAAGCGTAATTTTTAGTGATCCTCCATGCTAAGATGGCAATGCCCGATTCGCAAACTTTAATCTGATAAATAATGTGGAGAATGAATACGGTTTTCTTGCTTGATAACGTTTAATTCTGATCATTTCTTTAATAATGTTTTCTGTATAGTAGAAATGCAAATGCCCCTTTTTAGAAACACAATTGAAAGATATCCGTTTCCCAAATTTTGAACATGGAAATCTAATTCATGTTCTTGATCAGAATAAGCTTTTGAGGGTACCGTTGTGAATCGAACATTAACATATTTGCATGAAGGCAGGTGTCATTTGAAAATACGCTGACAGTTCCTTTACAAATATATTTAATATCAACATAGTTATCGTCAAAAGTTGTTCATCATAACCATCATTTTTAAACCTCGATACTGTGTCAAATATTTTTATCAGATCTGTAATTTTTGAATGGTTTAAATCGGTTAAAAAAAGTTTATGATAATCTCTTTTTTGAGCCAGTTTAACTGATTCTAATTTCCAAGAATTTTGAGTGGTTTCAATCCGTTTCGTCAATTAAAAAGTTTCTATTTCTATGTAAGAGAAATATTGTCACAGTTAAAACGATGACCATTTAGAAATTCAGGTCTTTTACAGTTTTTTTGTATGATTATAAATTAGCATTGAAAATACGTCAATTTAAGATACACTTTAAAAAGATTATGCAGTAAAGTATATCTATAAGAGTAGATTAAACATACTATAAAAGATTATGCAGTAAAGTATATCTATAAGAGTAGATTAAACATTATGTAGTATATTGTGTACTGCATGTAGTATATTGTGTACTGTATGTAGTATATTGTGTACTGCATGTAGTGTATTGTGTACTGCATGTAGTATATTGTGTACGTACTGCATGTAATATAATGTGTCCTGCATGTAGTTTGTTGTGTGCTGCATGTAATATATATTGTGAACTGCATGTAGCATATTGTGTACTGCATGTAGTATATTGTGTACAGCATGTAGTATATTGTGTACTGCATGTAGTATATTGTGTAATGCATGTAGTATATTGTGTACTGCATTTAGTATATTGCGTACTGCATGTAGTATAATGTGTCCTGCATGTAGTATATTGTGTACTGCGTGTAGAATACTGTGTACTGCATGTAGTATGTTGTGTACTGCATGTAGTATATTGTGTGCTGTATGTAGTATATTGTGTACTGCATGTAGTATATTGTGTATCGTCTGTATGTTGTATATTGTGTACTGCATGTAGAATATTGTGTACTGCATTTAGTATATTGTGTACTACATGTAGTATATTGTGTACTACATGTAGTATATTGTGTACTACATGTAGTATATTGTTTACTACATGTAGTATATTGTGTACTACATGTAGTATATTGTGTACTACATGTAGAATATTGTGTACTGAATGTAGTATATTGTGTACTGCATGTAGAATATTGTGTACATTATGTAGTATATTGTGTTGTGTATGTAGTATTGTGTACTGCATGCAGTATATTTTGCACTGTCTGTATGTAGTATATTGTGTACTGTATATAGTATTGTGTACTGCATGTAGAATATTGTGTACTGCATGTAGTATATTGTGTACTGCATGTAGTATATTGTGTACTGTATGTAGTATATTGTGTACTGCATGTAGTATATTGTGTACTTTAGTATATTGCGTACTGCATGTAGTATAATGTGTCCTGCATGTAGTATATTGTGTACTGCGTGTAGAATACTGTGTACTGCATGTAGTATGTTGTGTACTGCATGTAGTATATTGTGTGCTGTATGTAGTATATTGTGTACTGCATGTAGTATATTGTGTATCGTCTGTATGTTGTATATTGTGTACTGTATGTAGTATATTGTGTACTGCATGTAGTATATTGTGTACTGCATGTAGTATATTGTGTACTGTATGTAGTATATTGTGTACTGTATGTAGTATATTGTGTGCTGCATGTAGTATATTGTGTACTGCATGTAGTATATTGTGTACTGTATGTAAACTTTCTCTAAGAGAAATAAATCATCACACAAAAAAGTTAAACTATCTTTTTAAATACGAGATAATTAGAAAGATCAAAGGTTTACATCATTAAGATACAAAGATATATGCAATTAGCTTTTATGGTGAGAGATGACCTTGTTAAAGTAATGTAAAGCCTTTTCCGCAGTTCCTGATCTCATCTCAAATATACCCTAAACAGTAAACAGTTCCTGATCTCATCTCAAATATACCCTAAACAGTAAACAGTTCCTGATCTCATCTCAAATATACTCTGAACAGTAAACAGTTCCTGAACTCATCTCAAATATACCCTAAACAGTAAACAGTTCCTGATCTCATCTCAAATATACCCTAAACAGTAAACAGTTCCTGATCTCATCTCAAATATACCCTAAACAGTAAACAGTTCCTGATCTCATCTCAAATATACCCTAAACAGTAAACAGTTCCTGAGCTCATCTCAAATATACCCTAAACAGTAAACAGTTCCTGATCTCATCTCAAATATACCCTAAACAGTAATCAGTTCCTGATCTCATCTCAAATATACCCTAAACAGTAAACAGTTCCTGATCTCATCTCAAATATACCCTAAACAGTAAACATTTATAAAATTAAAAATACGGGAACAGAAATATTAATAAATATTAGAAATCAAATGAATTTGTTTGTCAGAATTGGGGCAGATAATGCATTAAAAAATATAGATAAATAATACACAAAACAGGATATAATTTATACATTTAAACAAATATAAGGATTCATATATTAGGAATCATATATATTAGGACTAACATAATAGGATTCATATATTAGGATTCATATATTAGGATTCATATATTGGGAATAACATAATAGGATTCATATATTAGGATTCATATATTAGGACTAACATAATAGGATTCATATATTAGGATTCATATATTAGGATTCATATATTAGGACTAACATATTAGGATTCTTATCTTAAGATTCATATATAAGGACTCATATATTAGGATTCATATATTAGGACTAACATAATAGGATTCATATATTAGGACTAACATATTAGGATTCTTATCTTAAGATTCATATGTAAGGACTCATATATTAGGATTCATATATTAGGATTCATACATAAGAACTCATATATTAGGATATATATTAGGATTCATTTATCAGGATTCATATATTAGGATTCATATAATAGGATTCATATATTATGATTCTTATATATATATTAGGATTTCTATATTAGGATTCATATATAACCTGAGCCAAATATGTTTCATAATCATGTTCGTCAGCTGCAGCTGCCTGTCCTTGTAGCCTAGATACAAGTTGTACAACAAATATGGTTTAAAGGGACTATAAGCGTAATTTTAATTGACACTTCATGAAAAGATGGCATTTCCCGATTTACAACGGTACCCTTGAAACCTTCATCTGATCAAAAATGCGAAAGATATCGTCGTTTTTCAAGCTTGAAAGGGTTTATTTCTGTGATTTTCTTTATTGCTTCTTATAAACAAAAAAGTGCTAGTCATTTTCGCTGGGAAACTACAAGGGAAAATAAACTGTGTCAATTAAACAAAATCAAATTTGATGAGACAAACCTTTCAAGGGACTGTTCTCAAATATGTTTCGTAAATCTGTTTAGATGCTTGAATTAAAAAAGCATTGCATCAACATTAAACAAAAAATATATTTTTGTGACTTCAAGAACAGAAAATACCATGCTAAATGTTTAATGTTTGATAAAAATATATGTATTATGTATTATGTAAGACGAGGATTAAATGCAATATTTCTCCTTTTTCTTCTTTTTTATTAATTATTTTTTTCTTCTTTTTTGATAAATGAGAAATTTAAAAACTGAAATATATATGTATATTGTATATATTCTAATAATTTTCACATACAAATATTGGCATTGTATAGGTCCTTGAAATATCTCCCTACCTGTCCCTTTTCTTCTTAATTCTTACATCAGTCTTAACATCTCGTTCTCCTGTCAGCACTGCAGCCTGTCTATACTTATCCACGTACATACTCTATACAAATAGTGGAAATTTATTAGCGGATTTATCATCCAACAAAAATATTAATGGATATTATCAGAATTTATCACTTTTTAAAATAGAAAACGGCGATATTTCCCTCGTTTTTAATCAGGTAGATATAGAGGTTTACAGGGTACAGTTGTAAATCGGACATATCGGTCTTTTTTTAAAACAGGGTTGCTTAAATTTGTGTTTACATTTTAAATCTTGACATAAGAATATAAAAAATGTTATTGCCAGCAAATTTACCTGACCTCACCTTACCTTGCCAAAAATATTCTATTATACATTGGAGAACAGTTGCCTAAGGGAAATATAAACCTATTACAAGTAACCCTCCATATTAAGAGTTGTTACTAAAAATATTAAATATTTACATTAAATCCATGCACACACCCTTTCATAGTCCCAGCTAAAATGTGAAGAACATAGGTTAATTAAAATAACAGATAGAATATTAGATATGTCGTATTTTCAAGATTTGGATGAAACTCGTTCACCATAAACCTGAGGCAGAAGCCCAGAAGAGTTTTGCGCAGTCAGCGTAGAATTACAAGACATAGAGAGCCTGTTCTACGTCGACTGCGCGAAACTCCTTTGGGCTTCAGTCTCAGAGTTATTATGAACGGGTTTTATTCAAATCTTGAAAAGACGACATCTAGTGTCCTATCTGTTATTTTAGTTAATCCACGAGATAAAGGTTGAAAGGAAACCGTTTTATACATGCAAAGGCCACACATAACTGAATACAATTTCAAGGGAAACCAACCATGTTTGAACCGCGACTCAATTTGAGACGTGGCTCGAATTCTTTTAATTCGGCCTCCGATCTCTTATTGGTTATATTCTTAAACTTAATCTTTTTTAGTAACTAACAATTTTGGAACTGATGATTTCACAGTAATCCAAAGTCTGTAATCCATGTACTTTAAAACAACTTATTCACATCAAAGCAAAATTTTTTTTTCTAATAAAACGTATTTTTTTAGTTTAAAAATTTTAAAAAAAAGACTAAAACAAATTTTTTTATCAGCAATTTTTAAAGCTTATTTAGAATAAAAACTCTTCATATTAAAAACAAAAAACAAATATTTTGGATTGAATCGCTTGAAAAAGTTTTACCTACGGTGGTAGGCGATTATATCAATATAATAAAGACAACTTTTTATTTAAGATTTGATTGTTGACAAGCTTTTTTCGAATCATAAGCTTACAAGCAATTAAAGAGAAGCTTTTTTATATGACAGCTTCTCTCTGTTTCGACGTTTTTGTGTATCTATGCTGTTTAAAAGCTTTATATAAATCAAAATTAAAATCGAAAGTCATCTTCATTATATTGATAAAGTCGCCTACCACCATAATGTAGATATTAAAGAAGTATTAAGATAGTTCACATCCAAACAGTAAAAAGCAAGGTTTTCTGAGATATTCTTAAATGATCCATTTTTTTGAATATCTCTATTTTAGAATCTGCAAAATTTTCAAAAAATTGCACAAATTAAATATATATTGCAAAAAATGTTTGCCATAATAAAATTGTACAAAGAAGATGATTTAAACAATTTCAGAAATTCCTTTGATCTTGCAGACATGGACAATATTTATGCAGACATGGAAAACATTTTTGAAAATCTATAGTCTTACATCATAAACAGAATTTAAAAAACTGGATTGATCCCGATTGTTACCTAATACTAATTTCGATGCTGAGTACTTTCCCAAAGGCTTTTAACCATACGGAAACTTCCCAAGGCTATTTTTCCGATTGTAAACTTCCTAACTTTGCAATATCCCAAGCGGCAACTTCCAAAGTATGTCCTAGCCGCAGAGCTCGACCCCTAGCCCATCCTAGCCGCAGCGCTAAGTTTCCCTGGTATCCTGCGGCGCCTCAGAAGGCCTAAGTTAACCTTTGGGAAATTGCCACTTGGGAAATTTTCACTTGGATCTCACCCTTAGTAAAATTCCTCTAGGATTTCCACCTGTTGGGTTTGTTTAGCATCCACAGTAGAAGTCTCTTGTGTTGGAATATCACCAAAGTTATCATCAAAATCATCAAAGGATCCAGTTTCTTTATCTGCTGCCAGGTCAAGCTCTTTGCCTGGAGCACTGGAACAATATTTTAGTAACCTCAGGCTAAATCTATTGATCGGGAAAGCGCTTAGTTTCAGCGATAGAACTCGAAATCCCCAGTGAAGGTTTTGCACAATTATCCAAAGGTTGTAAGCTCTCATAAAAATATCTATCAACATTTTGCTCTATGCATGCTTCTTTTAGATTGATGCTAGAAACAAGTGCTTTATGTTATCAAATGCACATGCCTCTAGGCTATAAAAAAGTATAAGTGAGTTAGTGTGATTTAATCAAAGCCAAGGCATTGCGACAATTTAAATTCGACCCAGTTTTGAAAATGAATGCAACTTTCTGGATCTATGTGACGACTTTTAATAGGAGTCTAGATCTATGTGATGATAGACGACTTTAACTAATCCACCTGAAGATGGAATTTCGCTGAGACACATTGACTAAAACCCTCCCAGCGAGAACTTTTAAATTGAACGATATAAGTTTCATTCGGTGAAATACAAGAAATCTGCCAAGCAACGGTTTCAAAATGGTTTTAAAACGACTTAAATAGAGTCGGTTACAGAGTAAAAAATGGTTTTAAATCGACTTAAATTTAGTCGGTTACAGAGTTAAGAATGGTTTAAAATCGACTTAAATTTAAATTGAGTCGTTTACAGAGTTAATAATGGTGTAAAATCGAGTTAAATTGAGTCGGATAAGCAGATTTAAAATTAGTTTAAAATCGATTTAAAATGAGTGAGTTGTAGATTTAAAAAGAAAGTTAGATACCGATTAGTTTTGTTGTTTGATTTGAATGATTTTGATCTTGAGTTTGAAGAAACAGACACAGAGGATAATCTGCTACTGCTCCGATTTATAACTATTGTTTTAATCGGAGTAGACATTGTTCTGAAACAGCAAAACATTGCGCGCCATTTTATGTTTTAACTCTATTCCTACTCTATTCCTACTCTGCCGAGGTGTTGAGTGGGTGGGGG